TTTTTCAAGGCTCCGAAAAATTTAAAAAAATTAAAAAATATAAATCGCAATCTTTTATACTTTTTAAATTTTTTAAATTTTTCGGAGCCTCCGAAAATTTAAAAAAATTAAATCGGACTGTTCTCAGAGATCACCAGATTTCCAGATGATTTAAAAATTCAAAAAAATTTCAAAATATATATCGAAATCTTTTATATTTTTTAATTTTTAAAATTTTTCAAGGCTCCGAAAAGTAAAAAAAATTAAAAAAAATAAATCGCAATCTTTTATATTTTTTAGTTTTTTTAAATTTTTCAAGGCTCCGAAAAATTTAGAAGATTTAAATCGCAATCTTTTATATTTATTTTTTAAATATACTGTATTTTTGATATAGTATATAATTATTAATATATATATATAACTATGTTAGCTTAAATTATCTCAAGGCAGACTGCGCGGCACATAGGGTATATTCTTCCCGCTTACGGGGGGCCCCCCCCCTGGATCAAATCCCCCCTGCGCCGGTTCACGCCGTCATGGACTTCTACCAGGGTTACTTGTGATTGCCTGCTACCTTTCGTTCACCCCCTCCTCTCTCAAGTCTTCTTTGGTGTGTATCTATGTTCCAGTTCTCGCCACCAGAAAGATACATGGCTCATCACCAGCATGCCTTGTAGACACTCAGTCAACGTGCATTTCGAGACTGAAGTTCTTCAAACTATATAATTTGCTGTTTTAATTGGATCATGCAAAATGGATTACTTTTGCACCATACATGTTGGCTGCAATATGGTCTTCGTTTCTTTGAAGATAGCTAGATGACGGAAGCCTGACTTCTGAGAACTGCTGTTCTTTTTTGTCCAGTCCTTTCCCTTGATATGGCCTCGGGCGGCCTCGGGCTTAATGCGAGGTCTTTAGCGTTCTGATTAAATCGCTTCGCTGCAGGACAAGCCTCCCGCAAATCTTCCGCAGGATGCAAAGGCAGGTGATGTTCCATCGGGTGAAGGGGCCTTGTTGTTGAAAGGAGCAGTTGAACAGCTGGCGATGGGCAACTCATTACTTATCAGCTGATGCAGTGTGACGTGCTAGCTATGGCAGGACATGGACACGCTTCCCGCGAAAGTTCAACAGGATGCCAAAGCAGAGGCCAGTTTGTTGGGCATCTTCGAGGTTGTTGAAGAAAGCAGACAAAGCATTGTGGGTTCAGTGCAGGTTGATGTATTACAAGCTTTCGCAGGATTCAGGATCCAAGACTTTGAGCATTCTTCTCAAACAATAGCAAATCTGTGTTCGACACGTAGACTCATGTTTGCTCATCCCCTCCGACTGTCCGTGTATATCATATCAGAAATGGCATTCTACTCAGCATCCGAGTTTCCTACGTTTTCATTGCACATTTTGACCGCGGTAAGCGGACCCGCTCTGAGTTTACTTCTCAAAAGAGTTGCTTTGATGCAGTTGTAGCGAGACCCAATGCTGCGTGTGTGGCAGTTTGCTTCGGCCATTTCTGCCATCAGCCTGCTTGTTTGCCCTTGGCCCTAGTCTGACCCAGTGTTTTCCTTGAAGCAAGTACAAGCTTGATGATTTTGTGTCAAAAACGATCAATATCGGAACAACCATGCCACTGATTGTGCACAGATTTGTCTTCCCGCAGGCAGGGCTGATGGGTCCGTTGAAGGCAGATGCCATGCGACAAGATCCAGAACCTACCAGACCACGGGACCTTGCGCCCGAGAAAGTCCCACCGCCACCTCCGCAACCACCCACCAGACTACGTGACCCTGCACCCAAGAAAGTCCCACCGCCACCTCCACCCACCAGTGACCCTGCACCCAAGAAAGTCCCACATGATGGACGCGGATTTGCGCAGTGGAGTCACCCATGGAGGAAGACCAAACACTGGGATTGAGGTCAGGCTGCAATGCTGGGATTTTCCTGGACAACAAGAGTATGCGCTACTGAACCGGATCTATTTCTCGAAGGGCGCTATTTACTTGGTGTTCTTTGACAGGACCGGGAACATGGATACAGAATGGCGACACATTTCTTTCTGGCTTTGGGCCATAGCACACTATTCGAAAGAACACAAAGCCAAGCCACCAATTTTTCTCCTTGGAACCAAAGCCGCTACAAGCACTTTGGATGAGACGGAGCTCCAAAGGAGGCTCGAAGAGCTTCAGAAAAGGGTTCCATACCTGAAGCAAATCTTACGATCACATCCTCCTGACTCCAAGAGTGATTGCAAGTGGCTCGTACCAGTAGAAAACAAGGGTCCGGAGTTTGCAACATGGATACAACCTTTGCGCTCGCAACTGGAGCGAGTATCCTTTCAGATGGTCACCGAGCCTGACATTTGGAAGAACACTTATCCACACGAGGATATGCCCGAGTTTGTGGGCACGCAGGCAAAGACCTTCCCCATGCGATGGCTACGAGCCCATGATTTGCTAGTGGAATTTGGCCAAGGCTTCAGGCCTTTGATTAAGCAGCAACAGTCATGTTAGATGCTTGAGCGTTGCAAAGAGATCGGCTGACTGTTTTCAACCTTTTCCCATTTGCCGAGAACTGCAGTCTGCACACACGTTGATGGCATTGAAGTAGTGTAACAGGTTGACATAGTTTAAGAGTTGGCCAACGCGTTTTAAAGGGCCGCTAACAACCTTGTTAAGACCCTGTCAGGGCCACAGCTCAATTGGCTGAACTTGAGAAGGCGGCAGATTTGAAGAAGCGCACGGTGGGAGAGCAAAGAGTTCGAATCACTGCAGATTTGAGAGCGAAGATTTCAGGCACATGGCTGGCAGTACCGTCAGGGGCCTTCATAGAACTGGAAGACGAGGCATGGCCTTCAAAGGAGCTGGCTTCACAAGAATGAGGTGAACATTTGCGTGACTTGCGATTTCCTGGAGCTATCAGTTATTAAACGCTTTCTCCGTGGCATGCTTCCTTTGGGGCTATCTGGTCAGGATACTGAGGACTTGTTGAGCCTCCTGAACGACATGGGAATCCTGGTGTGGCTGGAAGAGGAAGAGCAGACTTTGCGCGATGAAGAGCAGTCTCTCCGACATTTGGTCATGCTCAACCCGAAGAAGCTTGCGGTGGCAATGGCGCGATTGATGACAGTCTGCTTTGGCGCAGAGAACTTTGAGCATGGTGACGACATCAAGAAGTCAGTGGAGGATGTTTGCACAAGCGCTGGCCCTCAAGATGTTCGCCGTTTTCGCTCAACTGGAGTTGCAACCAAGGATTTGATCGAGAGAGTCTGGGAGAAGGACTGTGGGTGATGCAAACAATGTCACACGCAAGCCTACTTTGACAGAGTAAGCATCCAGTAGCATTCAGCACCCCTTAGTCATGAGGTGCCAACATTTCTTGAAAGCCGCATTTTCTTCTCAGTTGAATTTCTGGAGGCAGTCAACATAGGCTTGAATGAAGGATATGTTTGGCCTCAAAAACTTCAAGTCCTTTCGAACTCTCCAGACTAAAAAGTTCAGATTCAGGTTGATGCAAGTACACGGAATTTTGTAAGATATTTTTGCAAAAAGCAGCCACCAGAGCGGGCTTGTTGCGAGCCCCTTGAGGCTTGCCAGGACAGGAGCAAGCAACCAGAAAAAATACAATTGCGCGCCGGAACCAACAATTTTTGCCAAAACATGTGGAAAGCTTGAGAATGTCCAAGTGAGAAGCTGCAAAAAGTTGTTGAACCTGTCAATGTTCAATGAATTGTGTCCCTGTGTCCCATCTTTTCTATTCTATCGTCTGTAACAGGCGAGGTTGGACAAAAACTGAATAAAGCTGAACAAGTGATCAAATTCCCCATCCTGTCGAGCTCCTTTCTCAGAGCTAGTTTGGAATGGATATTCCCTGATGCCGTTGGCCAGCGTGTTTTTGCAATTAAACAGTGTTCCTGTCACTGCGCTAGTGGGATCTAGTTCGAAGGTGGATAGATTGGCGGGGGACGTTGTGACATTTGTTAAGAGATGAAATCTTCTACCAACAAGCGCGCAGACAGTGGGCTCGCCACAGTCGCACAAAACACACCAGCCGCACCAGTCATCGCAGAAGGTCAAATTGTTGCAAGCCTTCGAGCAAGGTGAAAGCAAATTGACTCAGGGCAGCCATGCAATAAACTTTGACACCTTGAACATAACAAGGCGCTCCTCTCCAAACGCTCAAAGACACAAAATTTGGTGTGGAGTCTGAACTGTTATATAATATACAAGTATGATCAAGTATGTAGCTCTCTTGTGACAACTATATAATACTCTCTAACAAAGAAACAAACATCAAGTAACGTGAATAGGTGATTGCCACGATAGGTGAAACAGATTATAGACTCTGCTGAATGCCACGTTATTGCCCGAGAGTGTGGTTCAGCTCAATATATGCGGCGCCATGTTGGAAAGTGTTTTGGAGGAACCACGAGTCATTTTGGAATGATGTTTGAAGCGTTTGTGGCGTTGTTTTGCAGCATGCCAAACTGATGGAATTGCAAGGAGTTTGAAGATCAGGATCGTCGGCAGTTCATCTTGGAGGTATTGCTTAGAAGGAACCTCATTTGCCCACGACTTGTCCAGGGAGAGTTTGTGGTTCCCAGCTGCCTACCAGTAGCGCACTGTGCAGAAGAGAGGTTTACAGAGACAGATGCAGCTTTATACCTTGATCTTGGTGGATTGTTGTCACCAAACTTTTTTCCAGATTTGTCACGTCAAATATATTCGGTCGAGAAAGGATCCGAAACTCTCACGCCCGGGCCACCTCAAGTTTTTCGCAACCTTGGTGATCTACATTCCAATGATTGCTCGGTGTTTACATCTTTGTTTCCTGGCAGTGCCCGCGATAGCAGCAAGAGTTTGCTGCGAATCCTTGTCAAAGGAGACAGCAAAGACACGAACATGAGAGTAGCTCAAGAAGTGAAGAAGCTCTTGTTAGAGGACGTCATGGGATTCCAGCCAGGCTTTGAGGCAGAGCAGGATCCCATCGTGTTTTTTAGCTTGCAAAACGTCGGGGGAAGCCAGATGTCTTTTGAAGATTTTTACAGGTGCACACCCTGCTTGGATTCGAGATGTGCCCAGACTTGTTTGCAGTGCATGTTGTGGGGCTTGCTGCAAGAGCGATCTCGGTGTGACTTGAGTGAGCATCTTCATGGCATTGTAAAACATGCAGCCTTCCAACGTCACACCCGCCCTTCTGGCAGCTTTCGCTTCAGCGCGATGAGCTATCCAGGGGACGTGGATCTGGAGGAATACTTGGTCGTGACTGCCTCCAAGCCAGCTGAAGCTTTCAAAGAATTGGCCAGACTGGTCAAGGCCAAGGTGGGAGGTTTGAGCAAAGGAGGATCTCAAATCTTCTTCAAGGGTCTCAAAGCTGGTTCCAAGAGCCAAAACAAAGATGAAAGCAAGAAGGAGTGGCTCACTTGGTCTCAGGAAGAGATACAGAATGGTACCAAGGATGGGATCGAACTGGAGGAGGCCTTAGAACAAGGGCACGAGAGCTGGACAGCAAAGATGGACCTTTTCGCCAAGGTGCGCTTGTTCGAAGATGCGCAACCGGAACGCTTTTTTGAGATTACGAATGTCTTGAGAGTCGGATACTTGAAGGAAGGGCAGATTCAAACCATCACCAAGGAGAAGGATTTTCTGCACGTAGTCGAGATTTGCTTGGTAAAGTATTCCGGTGAAGAACCCAACGTCTTGAAGTACATCAAACGGCTTTGGGAGAGAAGTGCCTACCTGGCACAACGTGGCTTTGATCTGGCTTGGCACGTGACCATCCTGAAATCGTTGAAGCCCTTGCTCTGCCACTGGGCTGCAGAGCTCTGTCAGATGGCCGCCCATGTTGAGACGCTGACGAAGATGTTGAAGTGTTCCGACCTAGAAGTGCTCGAACATGCGCGTTCGGACCTGCCGATCCTGCGTGCCTCAGTAGCGTTTAGATGATTTGCAAGAAAAGTCGAGTTGCCATGCAACCTAGATTGGGTACGCTAGAGCACTGCTCCTCAATAAGTAATTGTATATGCACATTTGCCGTCGTTGTTTGTTGTTGTTGTTGCTGTCATCGTCCCATCCCACTTATTGGCTGTGGCAGAGGCTTCTTATGCAGAGCAACTGTTGCTGTTGCAGCATCTGAGGTCAAAGCCTAAAGGACATGGAGACCAGGCTGAAGAAGGTCCAAGAGAAAGAGAAGAGGGCTGCCCAGGATGGGCTCGAAAGTATTCAGGAAGCTCTCAAATATATCGCTGAAGATGCTTCTGCAGATGAAAAAAGGCTTTGCAAAGCGCAGCTCTTGTTGGAAAGTTGCGTCGAGACGGTGCTCATCAGCGAGCTGGGTTCCTTCGAATCCCCAGTCGCCAAACGATTGGGCGGTCGGTGGGAGTTTCCTTCGGACCACCCTCCGATAGCGGCCAATCTCAGTCTGAGGAAGCACTCCATCAAGGTGGTTTCTTGGAACGTCTTGAATCGCCACTACTACAAGTATATCGATCTTGACACCCAAGGTTTGAAGGACTCCCTCATAACAAGGTTGCATCAGGAAGGATCAAGGGAGGTGGAGATCGTCAGGAGAATTAGAGAGATGATGGGGAAGGACTTCAGAATTGTGTGCCTCCAGGAATGCTGGCCAGAGCTGCTCATAGATCTTCAGAAAGACTTGGACCAGGGCCCAACTCCGAAGTTTCATATGGCTTGCACTGGGCAATCAACGGACAAGAACCAAGAGGCGCGATTTTCCCAAACAAATCTTCAATCCGCCTCGTAAACTGAAACCACAGCCTTGCGCAGGTCATCATCTACCATGAAGAGCTGAAGTTGCTCAACATGAAGCATCATGCCTACAAAAGCAACCCCAAGAAGGCTGCACCTCAAACGACCAGTGGTCCGTTTAACTGTAACTTGTTTCCAATCCTTCTGCTTCTGCGGCAGGTAGTGACGGAGGCCCTCTTTGCGCTTGATGGGACGGTGACACTTCGTGCCGTGACAACGTGTCTTGACAAGTAGATCGGCGAGAAAGAGAAAGCGAGAGAGAGAGAGAGAGCGGGGGTGGATTTAGATGAGACTGAGACTGTGAGACTGTGTGAATTGTGCCCGACAGCATACACTTGTGCCACTGCTGCCACTGCTGAGGCATGTGCCTGGTGATCCCTTTGGACCTGCTCGCAGGGAATTTGCGGACTGCCTGGTCTCGATCGTCTACGGCGAAGAGCTTCCGACGGTGCTGTTGGCCGATCTCAACTTTCCAGAAAAGGCATGCAGGGCATGCAGAGAAGACATTTGTCATTGTCCAGTTTTTATGATGAGTCAAGAAGACTCGAGGTTTTACTGCTTGGAATCTCTTGTCACAGGCGGTGCAGCCACTTCTGCTTGACCGTGGGCTTGAGGATGTATACTTCGTGCCCATCCCTTATCCCACAAATATTTGTCAGGCGCGGAAGTTTGGACACAGAGTGCTCCTAAAGACCTGTCACGATGTTTTTCAACCTCAGATTGGTGCCGACAGGGATCCTTGCTGCCCAAGAGGATCGACAGCATTGCAGTCATCAACCACAAGGCAGCCACTGGGGAGCTAGAGTTGCTGGAGCTTTCAAAGAACTCACTTCACACTCTCTCAGCCAAGCTGTCCGGTGGTCAATTTCCTTATAGACTTATAGTCAGCCGTATGAGTCTGTTCGGCACAAGAGCCTGCATTAATTTTTGGAGCACCTCCCCAAAGTTTCTTCTTGGTTTGTATGATGTTGGCAGGTTCAGCCGGAGAAGCAGCTGAAGGCCACAAAGATTGAGCCTGAAGAGCTGCTCGAAGGCCTTGAGCAAGTCGTGAAGCTTCTCAAGTCCAGGCGCAGCCCGGGTTGCAGACTGTTGAAGGGCCGCGCACGGTTATGGTGAGCAAAAAAATAGCTGCGAGCATGTGGGCTGTACGACGAAAGCTATTGGTTTCTTCTACGACCTCCGTGCGCAGTGCCACTTCAACACCAAGGCAAATCGTTCTCTGCACGCTATCTACTGCCAAAGCCGTTCGTCTCATGAGTATTACGAAGCCCTTTTCCAACCTCACAAAAGCAGCTTGCCTTGCCAAGCGCATCGCAACAGTTAAACACTGCGAAACTCTTTCGCAAGGTCTGCTGAGCCACTGACGCCTGTCCGATATCAATCAGACAAGGCCTTTCTAATTTGACGTTTGGCAGATGGTGGTTCAGGTTTCGGGTGGGTCTGGAGTTTCTGTTTTATGGTGTACAGTTGATGATGATCATTCGATGACACATCAGAACCCTTTTTTGTTGGGAGAGCGTTTATAGGTTTTGGATAGCAGCCAGACCGGCTAGGGTCCAAGAAGTCTAAGCAATGGCAATGAATGTGTGACAGTTGCTATACCTGTGCAGACTTATGTGAGTGAACTCGTCATTGTTGCTTTTCTTTTTTCAGATGGCAGATAGTTCCTCTTCCAAGCAATTTTGCCAGGTAGCACTGGTGCCCAGGCCACCCACGATATCCTCCATCCAGCATACCTCCCGCGGCGGGTTTGTGCGCCGCTGTACAGGAGCCAGAGGTGCCCGGCCTGAACTTTAGTGGGCTCAGCTCTGTCCAGAAATTTCCAAGTCCCAAAGGTTAAGACTTTGCCACGACTTTCTGATGATTTGGGCCACTTATCTTCATTATCCTTGTGTGAAAATGGTCCATGGCTTCAGTGGCGCATCGAAAGTCGGAGATCTGAGCCAAGCAGTGAGTTCCTTTTTTGCCACAACGCCTTGGAATCTCATGTTGGGTGAAGAGTCAACGACATTTCTACAAAACCATTGAAACACAGCTCCACAAGGGGGAACTTGCGGAAAACAGCGATGATGGCAGTTTGCTGAATCAATCTCAATCAGGACCCCTTGGCTTCCAACTGTCATTTTTGATGTCTTGGCAGGTGTCCTTTGGCGCTGAAGATCAAGAAACCAATGGAAGCGAAAAGGATTTGGAAGAGCGTGCCATTGAAATGACGTAGAAGTTCTGTGAACAGGACCCACCCTTGACAGGCTCCTGCCTTTTCCAAGTCCAAGTCTTGACGTCAGATGGCGGCTCGAACGTTTGGTTTTGATTGCCCTGTTCGGTTCCACAAGTATCCACACGCATCAGGGATGCGTCGCAATGAATCGCTTCCTGCAAGTAATTTACTAATGCCATCTTGCTTTAAGTCCTTCAACCTGAGAGGCATATATTTCTAGAGGCTTTGCTTGCGCTTCTTTTGCCGTTCACTCTTTCTTGAGAGAGTGTTCTTGGCCGGTGCCCCATGGCGGGCTTGTCCCATGCGATCCGCGCTGCCGAAGCAGCGCCGGGTCGTGGCGACGTCCGTGGATCAGCTGCGTCGGGTTACTTCGCTGCGGGGTGTGGAGCGCTCAGCGGCCCTGTGTGCCGTTTGGCGATGGAAGGCAGGAAGGGATGTGGCTGTGGGTCATTGGATGAGGATAGGGAAGCAGAGTTGAGTAGAATTGAGTAGATTGATTCGCATGAACATGTAGGCGCTTGGCCATTGCCGTCAACGCTATGATTAACCTCAGTTGATATATATAGGTTGACATTTATGGAGATCTTGTTTGGTTTCAGTGTTGGCTCGACGAGTGGCGGCTTTGCATTGGAGTTCATGTCGCTTCCTTTTTCAGTCGCCAGGAGTCTGCAGAAGCTTCTCCTTTGGTTCTGGATCCGTTTGCGGGAGAGCTTGCGCAGGCGCAGTAGATGTGATCGGTCAAGCTGAAACACCTCGTAGTTTAATTCCTTTCTATTTCGGGGTGGACCATTGGAACAAGGTGGGTATTTATGGGCTTTGACTTTCGATCAACAGGCCTTTTTTACACTCACTGGCAATGATCATGGTTACGTAGCATGACCCCAGAGAATGCACCTTTTCCAAATACCAAACCGGTGACTCCCATGTTGATTCCAGGGGGTGTCAGCGTGGTGTTCACGTTGGATCCTTCCCGAGCTCTCGTGGGCCTGGTGTATGCAGGAAGCACTTGGGACTGAAGCCGTGTCCAAGCTCGCTAACGCGACGTTCGCCTCCAGCGACTTGGCGACGACGTAAAACGATCCTCGGAGTAAGGGTTCCTTTGGGTTCACACAATCACATGCAAAACTCTCAAGGTGTTTGATATGACTTCCAGGCAACAAGAACTTGTGTTATGTTCATATACCATTCGATTCTCGGAGTAACGATTTTGTAGTTTGGCGGTTGGCAATGAGATGCAAGACCCTCAAGGTGTTTGACATCACTTTTGGGCGAGAGTTTGACCCCTGATTAGCAACAAACTCTCCAGTTCTGTTGAGGTCAAGAGTTTGGGTTTTCCCACTTTCAGGGGTCTTGTTTTCGATCATCTGAGGCCTCCAGTACCTGCTGGCGCTGCGTACCCGTTTGCTGGATGACCTCTTGATCGCCAGCCAACGCCACCAACCAGTCGAACAGGCCGGTGGACACAGCAGAAAGGAATTGGATTCAACATGATTCAACAAGTTGGAGAACAGCTGGGTGCACTCAGAGTCCGCTGCTATGCTGTATCGGTGTCCCTCCTGTGGTTTGCACCTGGAATGTCCTGCTCGTTCAACCCCCTTGGTCATGTCACTTGTTCAACCGGGCGTGCAGCGAGGGTTTAAGCCCGTTGGAGTTGGTCCGCCCTTCGGAGGAAGGGCGCAGAAGGTTCCTTGCGTGGAGCACGTATCTACTCCACATCCCAAGAGACGCGGAACGTCACCCAAACGTGGATACTTTACTGTACCTGGAAGAAAAACCAATTGCAAAGCACCAACGCACAGACTCCTCAACCACCATTCAACCACCTTTCAACCACCATTCAACCACCATTCAACCACACCAACCATGATTTGTCCCAAAGGGGTCGCCTGAAAACTCCCCAGGTGGTGCAGCTGGCCGTTGGCTGCGACACCCGAGCGCTGCGCTTGGGCTCGACGTCCAGCTGTCGTTTCTTTGAGGCTCGGCGGTTCACGGAGATAATGAACAAAACAAGTGGAAGACCCTGTCACTAAGCTGAGTTTGGCGTGGTTGGCGTTGTTTTTTTTGTTTTTTTATTTTTTTTGCAGGCAGCAGGCATGTCTTGGGGGTGTCTTCCTTGCTATTTCAGGTGTGAGACTACATGTCAGACATGGATAGGTGAAGGAGACATAAAGCTTTGCACTAAATCAGAAAGTAGAGACTCCCGCAAATTAGTCACCCCCTTGAAAGACCTCTACGCTGCCAGGTCGACACTCAGCGCATGGTCGATTTTCGAAAGAGGCAAGCTGAGTGCTGGTGAAATTTCCAGTGAATTGACTCTGACTCTGAAGGGATGTGGCAGCTCAAGCGGTGGCAGCTCAAATAGACTCAAGGATCAGAAAACTTCATGAATCAATTGCTGGAAGCTCCTAATGCATCTAATGCTGGTTCTTTCTTCCAATGTCATTCTGCTTGTGAATCCGAAGCCATCCAAGGAACAACTGTGAACTGTTCCGATTTATTCGCTGAGACCAAGGGGGGCAGAATTCGATCTAGTGGTCAATCACCGACCCCGGAAAAGAAAGGCAACAACTCCATGTTCTGCATGGAGAAGTGATTGAATTTCAAAGCTGCATACCTCCAAGTTCCGCCATGGTGGATGAACGTTCCCGCCTTTTGATCTCTGTAACTCTTGGCTTGGGCCTCTCATTCCTTCTTCATCAGCTGAAGCGCTCAAACTCACGACGTCGTTCTCGCACTCATCACATACCGCGCTTTGACAGCAACGGCCGAGTGGAAGATTTGGCAGAAGCTTTACGGCAAAGTGGAGTCGTGGTGGTGGAAGATGTGGTGCCATCCGACAAAACGGATGCCTTGCTAGACGAACTTTCCTCTGCCAGAGGTGTCTTCCATGGGAAGGTCGGATCCTTTGGAGGGCACCATACCCTGCGGAACGCCGCCAAACCGCTGGGAGAATCCAAGGTCGCACAGGAGCTGGCGGTGCATCCCTTGATTCTGGGCACCGTGGAGCGAATCTTGAGACCCTGGTGCAAGCGCATCAACCTGGGAACTTGTTCCATGATCTCCGTTCAACCTCCACCCACGGCGGAGGACCCACCAGCTCCACCACAGGTCTTACATCGCGACAACACCATGTGGGGCGCCTCCTCCTGGCCATTTCTGCCTTCCTCCGCGTCCCATCGTCCGGAGCTCTCCGTCTCGGTGATGTGGGCGGTCTCCGACTTCACGCGGCGCAACGGCGCCACGCGGTTCCTGGTGGGTTCACATCATCAGCTGCCGGCGCCAGGAGAGACGTATGGTGGGAAGGGGGAAGATGAGAGACTTCAAGACTTGGAGAAGGAAGTGGTTCCAGCGACCATGCCAAAGGGTTCGGTGGTCTTATGGTGTGGTAATACCCTACATGGAGCTGGTGCGCATGCGCCAAGAGAGGCGCATGATGATGAGGAGCCCTCCACGAGGCATGGACTTTTGTTCATTTACAATTTGGGCTGGTTGAAATCGGAACACAACTTTCACTACGCCATCCCAGCCCAAATCATCCAAAGCTTCTCTCCGAAGCTGTGTGAGCTGCTGGGTCGCTTCGGCCAGAACGCGGTGGAGCACGAGTGGTTCACCGGGCCCATCTACACGCAACCCTATTTGGGGGGTCCTGAAGGGAGCAAAGCAGGAGAAGGAGTTCAGTTCTGATCCGGTCCCACGAAGCAGTCGCAGGTCCGGTCCCACGAAGTGCTCCTGGAAAGACCAGTCCACCTTCTTCGTGATGAATGGATCGATTGGAGTTCAGTTCTGATCCCAGCACGAAGCTTTCCGATGGAAAGAGGATCTCCCAGTGGTGGTGAAGAGCGTCCATCTCAGAGACGCCAGCGCTGGTCCCGCGGTGTCTCCGTCGTGGCATCGTCCGTTTCCAGACCGGAACCGGTGCCGTGCGTCGACGCAAAAAGGGGGGGGAACAGCTGGGAGCAATGGAAGGAGCTGCAGAATCAAGCTGCAAAGCTGCAGCTCCAAGGTTTGAGGGGTTTGAGTCAGACTCGCCACTGAATTGTCCACACTGGCTAAGCCCCACCCGGAGTAGTTCTGTAGGACTGTAGGAAGATAGCGGGACCCAACATGATCTTTCTCAAGCAGCACTCAGGAGCGTTAGCTCATCCACCACCACGATCCCCAGGCCCCCACGCGGCCACCGGTCTACCCGCAGGTGGGTGCAGCAGCAACGTATCGTGCAAGTGGGATTCGATCTGAAAGAGCCGGAGCTTTTGGTGCCTGCTCTGGTGCGCCAGCTTCAGCTTCTGTCTTTACTTTTTTCTGCTGCGCGGTTTGCGTCAGCTTGTGTACCGATCCATGCGTTCCTTCTTTAGAACGCGGCATCGCGTTGTGCCTTTTTTGTCGGCTGGTGGACGGGGTAGCTTCTTGTGTCGTTTGCGTCATGTTTTTGGAACCCGTTTTTTGGGGTGCGAAACAACGAACAACGATGAAAGAGGGGCTCCAAAGGTGGTCTCGTGTCGACGTTTGTGAGACGCTTTTTGGGAGTTTGAAGGAAGTCTGAAGTCAGTTTGCTGTGACCTATATGGTCCGATGTGACCGCAGACTTTCCATCTTGAATTCGATGCAACGACGACTTGGTCCCTCCCAAAAACGCCATCCAGTCCCATAAACCTGGTCAATCCGTCCGCCGCGAGCTACACCGCCGTCCAGGTGGATGTGGGATTCGATCCGCGCCGCCGGACGGCCTGGCTTTGCGAGGTGCGACCGACGACGTGGGGAGTCAGTCGTTGGTTCTTTCCGGTCAACCGTCCAGTCGTTTGGGTTGAAGAAGACAAAGACAAACGAGGGAGCAGATTGCGGGTGGTTGTAGATCGATCATCAGGTTATTATGCTTTTTTGGGGGGGTTGCGAATGCGGCACTTGGAAGCTTGTGCTTTTTGATGTCTGGCGAAGAACATAC